TTTCTTTTTGGTTTTTTTGCAACTCTATTGTATGCTTTTGATTTGTGGTTACCTTATTTTTCAAGTATATCAACCCATTACTATATCTATTTCCTTTAGACTGATAATCATGTAGGCTCCAACACATCCTGAGAATAATGAAGAAAAAAGAAAGAAAGAAAAAAAATCTATATTTTCTTGCTCCCCTCTCCCATTCCCACCTTTTTTTATTTTGATGTCCTTTTTCTTTTTTACATCATCATGTTTATTCTCTTGTAACTCGTTATTGCATTTCCAACTATGGTTTTCCCATTTGTACAGCATCCACCTTCCTTTCTGTTTACAGTAGAACCTTTTAATGTCTCTGTTAGGTTCAATATTGCTGAGTTATCTCCCCTCTCCCCTCCCCCCCCACGCCTCTGAATCCTCAGTCCATGGAAGCCAAACCATTCTAGCCTTCATCTGCTCTGGGAAAGCAATCTTCAGAGTGGGAAAAAAATTGAAAAATCATATTCTGTGTGTTGCTTTCTACCCTTGTCCAGAGATAAGAAACATCTGAAGGTGGAGGAAAAAACTTGGAGGTGGGGAACACAAAGTCTTTTCTCCTTTTGCTACTGAAGAAATGATTGCTTTTGTAATTAATGATGGTGCCCTTTAAACTGGTGAGGTCGAGATTCCACAGCTTCAGCGCCTGTGAATAACCAGCCGGCAGAAAGCTCTCCAGGGCCCCTGCAGTGGGAAAGGCAGCCCCTCTGAGCACCTGTTGTTCTGTATACTTCCTGCCTCCACACGGGTTCACTAGGCACCGTGCAGGACGATGCAGTTACCCGAGGTGGAGGACGGGGAGACCCCTGCTGTGTGGCGAGCCACAGGAGCCCACATTTGAAAGACAAAGTGAAGAGTAGTGGGGCGTGCATAGCAACAGAGGATGATTGAGACCCAGGATGGTGTACTGGAGTCCAGCAGGCGAGACAGGCGGGGAAGGTAGAGCCCTGGGGCATGGGCAGTTCTTGAGGGATCTGAAGCAAAGATATGAACCAAGAGACTGGATTCGTCTGGGGATACAGCACCCCCTGGAGGCCGTGGGTCAGAGCAGCGAGCCCGGGAGTTGCGGGAACTTCCCCAAAGCTGAGTTGACAGGACACAACCAACTCACTGGGGACCGAGAGGCACCGAGTTATATTTAACTTTCTTTCCCTCTTCCTGGAAAAAAATCAGCTGCGTGTTGAATAGCCTTTGTAGTTAGTGAGAATTAAAAACATGAAGCAAGATTGCCTCAAAAGTCATCCATTGTGTAGTTGTTAATAAGGGTCAAATGCAAACTTGAATAGATGAAATCAAACATTCATCACAGGATTTTAAAATCCTTTAAAATAAAAATTTTTGCTGCCTTTGTTCTTCATTTCAGGGTTCACTTGGTGATAATAATAGTAACCAAAGCAACAGCAAACCCTTACAGAACTCTGTCCTGCTGTTCCAGGAACTCTGTGTTCACGACAACCCAATGAGGTGGCACTTTACAGGAAGGACAGTCATTAATCACACAGCTAGTAAATGGCAGAGCTGGGACTTGAACCCAAGCTGTCTGGCCCCAGAGCCCACTTTCAGCCACTTCACTGCAGCTCATCACTTGGCATGCCTGACACAGGCCAGCATTTAAGAGCAGCGTGACCTTGGCCAAGGCTGCTTCACCGCTTGGTCTCTGTTTCCTCATCTGTCAAATGGGGGTGTGGGCAGTGAACTCTGTGAGCTCAGTGGTCACTTCCTCCAGCTCTGCTATTCTACTGCTTTGAGTTAGTTTAGTAAGTATCCGAGCCCCTGCATGGCTCACGCATGGGCTGGAGCTTTGCTAGGCTGTGGGTTACGGGGAAAAGTAAGATCAGCCTGCTTCTCCAAGGAGCTTGTGTCCCTCCATGGGAAACAGCTGAGAGGCCCAGGCTCCCTCGCTGGCAGTCGGGGCCTGGGTAGGGAAGTCTGATAAGAGAAGATGGAGGCAGAGCCCCTCTGGGAACAGTGGTGGCCACACAGCTCTCAGGAGCGGGAGAGTCTGTCCTGGCTGTTGAGAGGGGAGTCCTCATGAGGCCAGTAGTCCCCCCAACCTAGGCCCTCAGGACAAAGATCCAGCCATCCCCGCAGTGTCACCATAGAGCCAGTCCATCCTCATCACTGTGCCTCTGTGCTCCTCTGTCCTTGGGCCTCTCTTCCCCCTACACCCAGAAGACTCTTCTCCCTCTCTACTCTGAGTGTCCCCTCACTTCACCTGTGGTCCCTGCTTCCTGGGCAACCATCTCTGGAGTTGACACTTTGCCCCCTCACACCCCCGTTTGATCAGGAGCCTGGGCTGGCCTCCTTGTGCTCACTTTCCACCTTCAGATCATTGCTCCTCCTCTCTTGGGAGCACCTGGAAAACCCAGATCCTTTCCTAGCAGTGCCTGCCACCCTGGCCTCCCTGCTCATCTGCCTCAGTCAGGAGCACCTGGACCACAAGCTCTGTATTGCCTTGCCTCCTACCATCAGGACGTCAAAGTTAATTTTCCCTCCAGCACCCAGTATGGTCATTTTAGGGTCTCCTCCTCCATCAGCCTGAGCCAGCCACCCCTCATTCACCCTACCCCCGGGCTCATACCCGGGCTTGTCTCCACCCTAGGTCCAGCCTCTCTCCTGTAAGTGCCCGCCTGTACCCATCCAGCTACTTCTCCACCGGCCCCCCTGGCCCTCCTTCACCTTCACTGGGCAGCAACCACTGACCCCTCTGCTTTCCTGACTGTTCACATTCCTCTTATTTCCACGTCCCCACCTTCCAGCTCTGCATCCACAGTCAGCACTCTCTTTATGACACACAAAACCCCCTTGACCCTTGATCTTTTCAGTTTCTCACCAGGACGACTTCCATCTCAGTTCACCCAGCTCTATTTGTTCTGAGCCTGCAGGCAGCAGGCTGTCATAGCACAGATTTCTAAGACTACAGATCAATGCCCACCATGTTGCCACTGCCAGGCAGTCCTCCAGGATTTCTCTAGTGAGCATATTTCCCCACTTATCACTCAGTGGTGTCAACATTCTCTGCTCTCTGCACACCTCTAACTTTCCCTCTGTCTCTTCCCTGACTCCCAGGAGATGCTGCTTCAGAGAGAATGACATTTTACTGGAAAGGAACTTGCTCACCTGCAGCAAATATCTTGCCTAACTTTTTATCTGTCCCTCTCCCACTGGAACTCTAGCTGTAGTTGTTCTTAATTTAGTGAGTTTAGTTTACATATATATACACAGTTAAAAGCATAGCACACTATAGGCTACCTTCTAGGGCTTACTTTTTCATTTAATGTAGAGTGTACAATTCATCCATTTCGTTGCATGTACCTGCAGTTCATTTGTTTTAACTGA